GGCTCTGTTTGAGCCCGACGAGGCGGGTACGAATATTAAACAAGGGGACTATCGAGGATAAGAAGCACTTGCGATCTCCTCTCTTCTCGTACGTCAGGCGGTCCTTTTATCGTGCAAAGGCAGTCTCCAGCGCACCTATTCTCTACCCAGCTGAGCGATTATACTTATTTTCCGATTACCGCCGGCAAAGCGGCTTTCCCGCTCTTTAGCAAGAAGTCATACGTACCCTTCGAAAAGGCTGATTAAACGACCACTTGTCAGCCTGTGTACTGGTAAAATTGCAGAAGCTTCGATTACACATCTTCCCACTTAGCTTTTTAAAATTATGCACACATCCAGGTGCATTAAGCGCACGCAGTCACAACTCCAGCAGGCGAAAACACGAAAATGATGCTGACGTAGTGGTCGGGCGTTCAGCCATTGTTGAACAAATTCTGAATTTCAGAGCGGCCCGATACATGTAGGTGAAGATTTAGTTCATTTATAACAGCATAAACAGAGCTCAAGAACGGATACTTTTCGCTTATTGCGTCTTGTAGAGCGCTCACGTCAAACAGACCAGGAAGCTTGAATTGAGGCTTGGCATCGCCTAAAACCAAACATTATGACGCGTCCTACAAAATGTAAAAGTGAAACCCCACCGACGTTGTCACGCCGAAAACAGGGTAAGAAACTCCGTCGTCCCCGTGGAGCGCCCCACACGCAAGTACTAGGGCCAAGAACTGAGCTGCCGTCATTGAGCGCGGTCTTTCCGATGTGTTGTACCTTGATTTTTCTTAGAATTCGATCCATCAGCAGAATATGGCGAGCACATAGAGTAGAGAGGCTCGAAACGTTTTAGTAAATAGCGAAAACCAGCTTGATGAAATCCTGTGTGACGAGCGACTGATTATAGCACGAACAAAAAAACGACGGAAAAGCAGACATGTTTCGAATGTTTTTGCATGTTTCACCAGTCAATAGGATTCCTGTATTTTTTTATCTGCAAACCTATGCGAGTACGAACGTTAGCCATGCGAGTGTGATAGTACCTCCGCGTTTGTGGGCATGCCGATAAGCTTGTTAAATGCTAGGAGCCTACAAGTGGTCAGAGGTGAAGCGCTAGCATGGGAATACCGGCTGGACCGTGTAGCCAAAGTATTTTTACTGTTGGCCCGCGGTCTTTGAGTTTACCTTAAGATACGGTGTCCAACAGCTCTTGTCACACTTTTGAAGCACCGACGGTACAAACATAAATGAAAAGCCCTTGTTGTTAAACTCCGAATGCAGAGCCGTTTCACTAGAAGAGCACTTCTTCCGCCGTCCCCAAATGAACAATTGTTTTAGCTCTAATTGTTGATAATCAAAAGGGTAAGCCTCCTATTGGATAAATTTAATTCTCCCCTTGGCTTCAAACTGTTGGGAAGTTTGCGTGGCATTTTTGGAGAAAATTCCATAATACCGTACAAATGTGCCGGGTTTATCCCAATCTTAAAAAATGCCATACAAAGTGAAAACACACAGTATACAGATAGCTTTAGTTCAGAAGTTCGTATTTGTAGAAAACCAGCTCGTTGCAAAGTACGCATGCGAGTTAATGATAGGTTCTGATTAAAAAGTGAGAATTTCTCATTACTATCCATTTAGAATAAGATATTTTTAAATTTCACGCCTTGTGAATGCTTGTACAGTATAACATGTAATTAAGGCATGAAGTCTAATACATTAGACCGCTTCTATCTGTGTTTATAGAGTTGAAAGCACGAAATTTCCGCTGATGGATGGTGCATACTCGATCCAGGCTGTTACCCTCCTGTTTTGGCTAAAATAGCCCATGTAGCATATTGTGTTCCTAAAACGTGGAGTCAATATTAAATTGCTATATCAGTTTAGCTACGAGATCTATTACTTAACTGATGGTGCTCTCCTTTATCTTTGAGTGAAGCCCAAAATATAAGATATTTTTTTTAAAAATTACCGGTCAATTTTTAAACCAAGCGTTCTCTCTAGATTGTATCCCATTAAATGTGCGATTTGACGATATCGCCCAATTTTGTGATATCACTAAGTTCGATTACATAGCCGGGGGAAATAGTGAAGTAAACAAAATTCAAACTAGCCATACCATAAAATATCCGATCTCAGCTTTAATTCGCTTGAGGCTTGCAGGCTGCTTAGCGTGGTGTGAAAATACGAATGCAAGCAAGGTTTGCAGTATTACGACGCGAAGCCAGGTTGCGAAAGTGATTGAGCTCGGCTCATTCATTTACCTCGATCGGTCTCCATTCATGACCAAATAAAATTGAAGGTAAATTGGTCTAGATTCTTGTAATAGTGTTAGACTACTTTTTCTACGGTAGTATTTCGGCAATGGCTTGTATTTGAGGTACTATCGTGCAATAGGCTTCTATTTATTAACTTAATGCGTTTACTAGCGCTGTGGGCATGGAGTTAGTTGGTGGACACTGCAGCTTGACACTGATGCGTGACCAGAATCGCTGCTCCATGTCATTGTGTAGGTCTTTCAAATGCAAAATTAACGTCTCATTGTTCGCGACCTTCTGATGAAAAAAACACCACTTATTCCATTTGTTTACGATTCGACTGTCCAGCAGGAAGCTTGTCCTACAGAGCCTTAATCTCGTACTTAAAGCTAGCCAACTTTCTTTCCAAGCGGACAATCCGCTGCGCGACGGCGGCGTTCTCGGTCTGATCTCCATATCGCTGGGCAAATATCTCCGTGGACACAATTCTTCGGGGCGTTAAGCTTTTGAACTAGCTCCAACATGTTGGATTGGAGCCCCCTTGTCTCACTCCCTTGCTTGTAGCCTCCCCGTCAATAAAACTCACCTGATATTAACCCTATCGTGGTACGAGGTAGCAAATTGCTGCCTTCAATCGCTTTCTCGAAAGTTGGAACTCAAAGAGACCCTTAAAAAGAAGCATAATGATACGTTGTTTACTTTTAGCCAATCATTTGCAGGTTTGTCGAGGCTAGGGATAGTACGAAAGGTAAAGTGCGCGCGACTAGTGAAATGATATTAAGAATTTTGCCGGAAAACGTACTTTTCTCACCCCTACTAACGTCTTTTTTGCTATAGGATGCTAAGTTTGATAATAAATCCGGCGTGCAAATCTCGATACCTATCATTTATCGTGTGGAGGACGGGCGCCCGACGAAGGCATCTACTTAGCAAAATACAGCCATACATACTGAAACTTCGACATATTCATAGATACATTGTTCTCGCCGCTATGCGAACAAACTTTCTCAACGGGGAGGACAAACAGCTTCTATCCATCGCCTATGAGTGTGAGGCTGCGGGGAGGCGCATTTCATGGAAAGACCTCGCAAACAGGATGCGGAGAAAACGTCACCCTGGTGAACTGGAGCAGAGGCTACGAGCGTTGAAGCGCACCTACGGAAAAACCATTGCGCGATTTTCACGGTGTTTACGACCCAGAGCGGCGATTGAAGACACCCAGTCCGTTAAGCCTTCAACATGTACTCCCCTACTTGCTAGTCAAGCTGAAATGGCCATCCAAGACATCTACAGTAGTGTCTCTGCAGCCGACATTCGCCAAGAAGCTGGAAAGACGGACGAGAATGCTGGTGAAATGTTGCCCGCGGCAGTCAGAAGTATCTTACAGATGATAGGAGAGGTGCGGCAGGAAGACGTGTTTCTCGATGTGGGGGCGGGACTTGGCCATGTTGTCGCGCAGGTTGCTCTTCAGACAAACGCTCATCGTTGTCTAGGCATCGAGAAACGGCATGACGTTGTTAGCGCTGGAGCGAGATGCGTACAGTCGCATGCGTCTCTGTTTGGTCATCTACGGAAAGTACTAGTTTTCACTGGAGATGTACTTGACACTCCACTTTCGACACGCGCGCCATTGAAAGATCATATATCGTTCCGTGTATATATCTTGCCTTCACTATCCTGACTAGACTATCGCAGTGTGTGTGGCAAATTGCAGAATGAAAAGTTCCTATTGTTTGACTCAGCTATACTGAATGCATTACACCATTTTTGGGGCAAATTCGGAACATATATCGTTCCGTGTATATATCGTGTCTTCACTATTCTGACACTCCAGTCCAAGCCCCAACAACCTCACCGATTACCACTCCACACACGTATTCGCGCGGTTGGCTCGAAGGTCACAACGCAAGTGACGCATTGGCAGCTCGCCTGCGTCTTCCATCAGCTGTGTCCATGCCGTACCTAGGTGGAGATGCGGCCGCCAAACTGCGAGAGCTATTATGGCGAGACACAGTGGACCAATATCGCCTCTATGATAAACTGTAGCATTATCTATCGCAGCCAAGTCTGTTTCGTTCCCAATTGTTGTTCCAAATCCCCCAGTCCAGCAGTATTACATGGTGGAAATCTACTACACGCGTGACTCGGACGTGGATCGCTGGCTGCTGGGCAAAAAACTCTCAGGACGGCTGGAAAAGGATCTGGACGATGTAGCGGAGAGCTCCGGCCACATACCCAAGGGCTCCCGTCGACAATTGGAGAATCTGCGACGTGTGTACGCTGCGGTGGAGGACCGCAATTTCCACGGTCTCCCGTGTCGTGCAGTGAGCATGTCAACACCAAACGCCGTCATAATACCAGAGGACATATATTCGGACGCGTCCATTTACCCCGCTGCCACGCGCAAAGCTGGTTACAATCGTTACCGCGTGGAAATGGTGAGTCTTCCTCCTCGCAACCTTTTCTTGACTGGTGCAACAGGGTTTCTCGGTGTGCAGCTTCTTCACGCTCTGCTCAAGTACTCGACAAGCGTCGTTTTCTGCTTGGTCCGTGCTGCAGACGAAGACGCAGCGATGGATCTTATTAAGAGCGCTTTAAACAAGTTTGCGCTGTTTAATGAGACCCAACAATTCCACCTGGGGGAAGCCCGTGCACTACATCTCAACGAACAGTGTGTTCCCATCAACGCTGACCGCGCCCAAGTTCCTGGAGACTGCGGACCTGACTGAGCTGTCAGATCAGCTCGAAAACGGCTACGCACAGAGCAAGTAAGTGGCTGAGCAAATGTTTCACGAAGCTGCTCACCGTGAGCTCCCTGTATTCGTTTTACGTCCAGGCGACATGGCTCCGTCGTCTCTCACCGGCCATTGGAAAGCCAGTGACTTCATCTACCTGCCACTCAAGGGTTGTGCCGAGCTCGGTGCTGTGCCTGCTCGTTCCGATTGGTACTTCGATATGACCCCAGTGGATTACGCAGCTCGTGCCCTTGTTCACTTCTCCGCTGTGCGTCTGGCCGAGGCTTTGGGCCAGACTTTGCACATCCAGAACCCGTCACCACCTGTCAATAGCGACGAGTTCTTTCAACTCTTTACAAGTGCTGCGGCAGACAAGAAATTGGCTACTGTCGAGTACGCGGAGTGGAAGAGCAGTCTGAACCAGGCTGCATCCAAGCCGGACGCGTCACTGGAGCTACAGAAACTGGCCACAGGCATTGATTCATTCGAGGAATATTTCCACAGCGACAAAGTGTTCGACTCGAGTCCCTCGGCTGAGCTACTGAAGGCTGCAGAGATCTCGTGTCCGGTGGTGAGCCAGAATCTCCTGAACATAAAAATCGAGCTAAGTGTACCACGAATATGACCACGCTGGAAGATGTCTGCGGTCTATGTTCGCAGCGATCGTGCTCATACTACGCCTCCGGCACGCTCTCAACATTAAGAGGTGCATTTAGGTAAATGGGAACTGGCTGAGACTTCCAGCTACAATGACCATACGTAGTTCCAGCTCGCTTCCATCTTCCACAAAATAAATTCCGGCAAGAATCTCTATGACGAGGACAATACAGCGACGTCGACACTATTACTCGTGCACTCGGTATACCACTGAGCTCCTCTTGGACAACAACCCTTCGCCTCTTCAGTGAATAAAAAAACATTCAAGAAAATAGGTGTTGTCAAATCATATATCGTTCCGTGTATATATCTTGCCTTCACTATTCTGACTAGACTATCGCAGCTGTGTGGCATGTAAAGTTCCTATTGTCGAGAACATATTTCGTTTCCGGGTATATTCTTGCTCTATTCTGACTAGACTATCTCAGCTGTGTGGCATGAAAAGTTCCTATTGACAATATATAGGAAAAGTTCCTATTGACAATAGGAACTTTCATGCCACACAGCTGAGATAGTCTAGTCAGAATAGTGAAGGCAAGATATATACACAAAACGATATATGAAGGAACGTTTCATGCCACACAGCTGAGATAGTCTAGTCAGAATAGTGAAGTTAAGATATATACACGGAACAAAGTAGGATCTGATTTTACCTGAAATATGGTATAATGAATTCAGTATAGCCACACACTGCGATAGTCTAGTCAGAATAGTGAAGGCAAGATATATACACGGAACGATATATGATCTGACAACACCAATTTTCTTGAATGATTTTTTATTCACTGAAGAGGCGAAGGTTGTTGTCCAAGAGGAGCTCAGTGGTATGCCGAGTGCACGAGTAATAGTGTCGACGTCGCTGTATTGTCCTCGTCATAGAGATTCTTGCCGGAATTTATTTTGTGGAAGATGGAAGCGAGCTGGAACTACGTATGGTCATTGTAGCTGGAAGTCTCAGCCAGTTCCCATTTACCTAAATGCACCTCGTAATGTTGAGAGCGTGCCGGAGGCGTAGTATGAGCACGATCGCTGCGAACATAGACCGCAGACATCTTCCAGCGTGGTCATATTCGTGGTACACTTAGCACGATTTTTTTGTTCAGGAGATTCTGGGTCACCACCGGACACGAGATCTCTGCAGCCTTCAGTATAAGATATATACACGGAACGATATATGTTCTGACAATAGGAACTTTTCATGCCACACAGCTGAGATAGTCTAGTCAGAATAGTGAAGGCAAGATATGTACACGAAACGATATATGATCGGACAATAGGAACTTTTCATGCCACACAGCTGAGACAGTCTAGTCAGAATAGTAAAGTCAAGATATATACACGGAACGATATATGTTCTGAATTTGCCACAATAATATTGAAAACACTTTTGCAAAGTTTAATGATATTTTTACTCGTTTCATTCAAATATTTGCCGAGCAACGCTATTCTGTTCAGGTACTGTGTCTTTCGTCTTAGAGCAATGCCGTGCCTTCAACTTTGCAAGTTGCGACGTCCTCCGTACATTACCTTTCTCGGTGAAAAGGCCGTTTGGTAGGTAAAATCGATGAAACTTATCCCAGCACGTCCAGGTACTCTGTGGGCAAATGTATGGCTTCTCAACATGATCATGCATAACTCGACATAGACACACTGAGTGTGTGTGACAGTAGTCAGTTACCTCAGTAGGATATCTTTCTTCGTACCGACAGACGACGCACTGTCGCTTCTTTCTGCCAGCGTCTCGAAATAATCGCTTTGACGATACCGATTCACATTGACTATGCAGCTTTCCAACATTTAACAGCGGGATTTCTCTCCTCGGGGCTGTGCTAGGTGATTCACCTGCCACTTCAGGTAAATTGTGTCTTTTATATACCATCCTGTTGTTGCTGGGGGCATTTTTCCATCTTCCTCCGATATCAGTTCAATCAAAACAATTATGTGCGAATCTCGATCTTTTGAAGTTCCAATTGCCAATTTCCGTGACGAGTATGCATTCACCCGTGCAATATCAATGAGAGATAAAGCTAGTTTCTTATGCCACTTTTTGTAAGAATGCCCATCTGCGAGCGAGAATCTAGCTCTGAGCTGATCCAAGCGATCAACACCTTGCATGTGCTGGTTATACTGTAATATACAAGTAGGGGCTGGAAAACTCCTGGTCTCATCTCGAATTCGGCGGGTAACGGTGGTAGGTGTAGAACCGTCGGCGTTGGTGACCATCGTCACGATGTTACCATCGCACCAGGAAGCTGCAAGAATACCATGGTCTTCAGCGACGGACTGCTGAAAATTCCCTCGAGATGAGCTGTCTTTGTCGAGAATAGTATGCTTTGGGTAGTGCTTGCTTCCGCTTCTAACTGTTCTTCTTGCATACAATCCCTTCAGTTTGAGATCCAGCAGCAACTGCACACTGGTGTAGTAATTATCCATGTTTATGATTCGTCGAGTGTGAAAGTAGGGCCTCACCACCTCTAGTACGTGCTTCCGTACTTGACTGACTTTTTCGAACTCCTCTCGAAGCTGCTGAACTTCTTCTAGGCTCGCCAAATTTTGTAGCCTATCCGCAATATCACTGTTGTTGCAGTGGAGACGATAATTTAAAGCGATCCATGTCGTAGCGCAGCATACCACGTACATGCGGAAATGATATTTGCCACCGGGCTTTTGTGGGTTGTATACGATGAGATGTCAACCTTGTCGAGATCGACAAGCAACACTTGCCTCGTCCAAAGCAAGATTCCGGCCAACGTCGACGTATCGTCCAATTGTACACTTCAGTAGATTCAACAGCGGACGAATTCTGGCAGCAGGATCACGTCCTAATGCGGCTCCGGGATCTGCCCGGAAAGAGAAACAGCGGCGTAGTAGTTTGAACCGGTTCAAACTCACGATGTTGTCGAGGCTTGTCGACGTACCACCAAAGATAGAGTCCTCCGTTTGTGGTCCCCAGTAGTTTGAATACTCTCCTTTGTCAGTCAGAGCCATGTAAAACATGATACCGAGAAATATCATGAGTTCATCGATAGTAAACGGTGTAGTGATTCGAATAGTTTTGATGGCAGCGTATTGATTTGTCTCCAGCACCACTTGCTTCCAAAAGTAGAGAGGCACGTAGGCGAAGAAGCTGGACGAGGCTGAATGGGCAAACAGGTGGTGATACTCTGGCAGCAACTGAGTCTCCGTGGTTTTGTCAATGCGCTCATACAGATGCCATCTCAACGTCAGGTTGGAAATGCATGCTTTTTACCGCTTCAACTTCTGGGAGGCTTGCAGGCAGGAATCATACCGTTCGTAGGAGTCTTGCTGTGTCGAGACTTCGAGCTCATCAACAGGTGTATCTATCTCCAGCTCCCCACCGCCCACGTTGTCAGTCAGATCACGCCACGCCGGGTTACTGGACAATTGCCCCAGCGCCTGGTAATTCTCGAGGCCACGTTGTACTACTGATACGCTCCGATTTGCCACTGCGTTCTGGAACTGTGTGGCAAGCCACATCACTTGCAGGATATGCCCATTCGAAGCTCGCTTCACACGCCGAACAACTCGCCCCACAATGTATGTGGTGCCCACACAGCCAAAACTCTTTTTAATCATCCACCGCTCCTTGGTTGGCGCAAAGGCTACCAATCTCTTTAGAAAGAGCTCTTCCACCATTGGCGGCGGCAGGGTACGTGGTGTGCCGTTTTGATCCGGTATATTGTCACCGCGAGCAATATTTGCAGTCGCCAACCTTTCCGGTGTCCTATTGTTTATACCACAGCCGGCATTTGCTTCGCCTGTAGCCTGAACTCGGACGCGACCACGCCCTCGACCACGCCCTCGTCTACGGCCACGACCACGATCACTGAGATCTGCACTTTCTCGACCTCGTGAATCGGTCTCACCACTGCTACGACGTATAGGTTCCACACCGACACACGTCTCACCACTGGAACGCAGTTCGCCGCCACCAGCAGCATGGACTCGCTCGCCGCCATCAGCACAGACCAGCTCGCCGTCACCATTAGCATGGACACGCTCATCACCACCACCACGGACCAGCTCGACACCACCAACATGGACTCGCTCGCCGCCATCAGCACGGACCAGCTCGCCGTCATCACCACGGGAACGCTCACCACCACCTACTAGGACACAGCAACGCCAGTCAGCACAACACGAAACACGGCCTACCATCCAGCGCCACTCGTACCATCCAGTAGTTCACCGTCGCCGTCTACTCGCTCACTAATACTATCCATGAAATATTGCAGAACAGCTTCTTCTCCAAGAAGACAGTCTTCACCCGCTTTGCCACTAGCAGGTCGGCCAGGGAGCACGTACCGAACCCTACTATCGAGGCCTCGAGGGGGTTTTTGACGTCCATCCTGAGGCTTTAAGCTCACGCCACACGCCATGAAAGTCAAATCTCGCAGCCAACCTCCTTGTATCTACGTGGGTTGATATCTGCCGTATCCGTCGCCGCTTCGGCCGCATTGACTGCGTGTCCTTCACCGCGCGCTTTCCTGGCATAGTGCGAGGCGGAAGAGGAGGAAATCTGAAAATGAGCTGCTTTGTCAACAGTCGGTTTTCAAAATTAATTTTAGCAGTTCATAAATTCGAGCTAGTTGCACTATTTACATGTATAATATGTATTAAACATGACAGTCTATCGTTTTCTGCAAGAAGAAATCACACTTACCATACAAAAACGAAGAGAGATACTCGCCAAAGGAGATGCATCAGCTCGAGCCTGTTTTTTTAAGAAACGACTCTGCACGAAGATAGAAGATGGAGATGGATAATTCACCTTAGAGAAGTTCACCATTCCTCTGATCCAATTGGCTATTCGCCAGCCAATCAACAAATACACGGGTTTATGACCAATTATAATCAAGATATGATAGTACCGTACTTTTAAAAAAGGAAGCCTTTTTACGTCATGCGTTCGTGCGGGAATCACGCAAACAAGACCGTAGCGACCCG